AGCGTTTGTATTTTAAAACACTCAAATTTAGATCGATGTGATGTAAGCAGTCTAAAACGAAAAACAGTAAACAAAACAGTAAATGAACGAACCTGTCCAAAGACGAAGAAAATAGTGTTGATAAGACATGGTATGATGAGTCGAGTTTCAATAGTGAGTTGTTTCTGGATGAGAACATTGATGGCGCTCAATGAGTCTTTTCGTCGATATTTGTTCTTGGTCACCGATAGTTTCTCACTGGTCACGGACGATTTCGAGTGGCGTTTATTGCGTCGTATAATCGAACAAAACGCAATCGTATAGAACGGAAACGGCAGAATCATCGAAAGCACATTGCAAAACGAATATAATCGTCCCGTTCCACTCGCATTATACTCTTGCCAATCCGTTGTCAGCCCATACAAATCCGAATCATAATACAACGGTTTAAACCAATCAAACTGAAATCTTCTTCATTTGATCTCTCATATTGCAACTTTTTCAATCGTGGTTCCCACTCATGATCACAAAAATTTGATATTTCGATCCCACTTTAGGACTGAAAAGTTTGCCTACAATTAGGAATTAGCTGAAAGCTGATCAAGGCAATCGAAGGGATCGCGCTGGATGTATTCTCGCTCCCTATTGTGCAGTTACATTTTCAAGTAACCAGTTCTGGAAAATCCACAGAATCGAATCTGATCAGTATTAGGATTAATGAGGCTGACTTTTTGATCAATCGTTATCAGAATCGAATGTATCGATATCGAACAAGAGCAGCGATGCGAAATCCCTTCGAAACCTGTCCGTACCTGATGTTCAATAACACTCTGCATTAGGGCAATGCACCAAGGTATACAGCAAATCGCTGTGCACGTCGCATGTGAAAGGCATCTGAACCAATTCGGCCATTCGATAGCGGCCAATCGCGACCACGCCACCATCGGATAGTGGTAAACCATTGCCCACCACATAAAATCCAGGTAGATATGCAAATGCCATCGGTAGTTTTCCGGTAGATACTCATCTTTACTCAGTATCACTATGCCTGGCCAAATACCAAACTGAAATCACATTTCATCTGATTCATTTGATCAACAGTTTGTTCTCAGACGAATTCTTCTCGATTACAAATCCCCATTTCCGTGCAAAAACCGCGATTTGAAGGGATAATCGAGAGGTGTGTTCGTAAACCATTTCTTTTCTTGATGTAAACCATCCCATAACCCTCTCTCCCAAACTAACATCTCCTTATGAGCAATGTGCATGACAGAATTTCATGTTTCCGGTGAATGCATCACATGCAACTGATGAGTGCATTCTGCGGACATAATAAGTATGAGAACATCAACGATATATTNTTTTTTTTTCAAAAATTCATTGAGTTATTCAGATTTCCGTGATTCTTATGGGTCAATAATTAATCATTAAAATGTAATAAAGTGGATGGAACATGCGAATTGAATGTAATTCATGAAAGTATTTTACCTGAATCATGAGAAGCATATCGGTGATCGCTTGACTGATCAAAAATCGAAAACCAACAATTTCAGCACACATTTGACACATCGCTAAGCAAACAATCAAGTACACAATAATACCAATCAACCCGTAGAAAATGAGAAATAAACCCGCACCAATATCTTCAATTGTTAATTGCTGATTTTCAGCAATCATCTTGTCACCTCTAATTCACTTCCTTTCAATTTCATCATTGAATTAGCCACGTTTAAACATGAATTGAGTCACTCTGAAAGCTCATGAAATAATATGAAGTGATAAAATTCTGCATGAAAACGTTTATCAAACGGCGGTCATCCATGATGCATAGACTTCGAAGAAATAAACGACGAAGAGGTCATAACGAATACAAGGCACGCGGGGGATAACGAATACATATGAATGCGAGAAAAAACCCTTTTTAGGAATTTGAGATCATTTAAAGATCGCTAAATCTTCTGATATTCAATTCAGGATCATCTCACTCATGAATCTGGAATGAATATTTGAAACGATCACAAAAGAAACGCACTGATTCCGAATTTGTCCAAAAATGAATTTATGCGCCCCCCCCCCCTGTTGCTTTCCTGAAATTCAAGACACCAACTATTTGGACTATTGCATTGATTTAATATGAGAAATAGAATCGAAACTCCCGATGATTTTCCACAAGTGAAAATTTTCCATCGATGGATTTTCTACTGAAGTCAGCTAATACACCAAAGAAGATAGCGCTGGTAACGAGTAGCATAATCTCATTATAGGTTGTTAACATAGGCTGATCTCTGAACAATTGCAAGCAACATTTCAATCTTGCCTAAGTAAGAATACAATCGTTTCTCTGAAATTTTCAACACGTTCACAAGTCCATGCCATCATCACATTTAATTAAAATGAATTCGCAATTATTTTGAAATTCAATTCAACGCTTCATCACATTAATTGAGGGCGAGCGCGATAGCTTTAAGCGATCAAACGTCCTCAACATCAAACATCTAAGCAAAAAAACGAACGAATGCTGCCATTTGACTCGAACTCTCGCTCATCATCCTGAATTTTGCTTTCGCTCAAATGACCTTCTAAGTGAATATTATCTTATAATAAGCTGAACCATGGCGAGCATCAATTTGCAAATTATGACGTTAACTGAGAATCGTAATCAGACGAAGCTTCATTAAATTTGCATCTGCATTCTTGATGTATTCATCAAGCTTCCTTCTATTCTCAATTTTTCGAAAAAAAAAATAAAAAATTTGAAAGATGAATATGCCGTTTCAGTTTTCGATTCTTTTTAACAATCACTAATTGCACTCACATTATACACCCACACTAGGTAAAATGACACAATACGTTTGTGCAGTAATTAGCACTTTGCAAAACGCACTGATAAGAGGAATTCACCAGAAAATACTGAAGAAACGCATTTATTTCCGATCAATTTATCGAGAACAATTAATTAGTCCTAACTGTGAGCAGGTGGTACCCAAGTTTCAAGAATTGCCAATAAGAGACCAGAAATGAATGAATAAATGGATAAGTTGTATATGCGAATAAG